GGTCCAGAAGCTAGGCTGCGCAAAAAGTAATATTTAATATGTTCACAGCTGAAAATGACAGTTCCGTGGTGGTCATTCCTGTGACAACACGTAGGATTTTCCAAACGGCAAAACAATTGTAGCCCATTTAAACGAAGGACTGCCTGTGGGCGTTGTTACTGCACTTTAGAGCATAAATTGCACAGATCTGTTAATCTGAATTCTATAAATCGAAAAAACATCTGGCTCTCTAATAATAACCTTTGTTATAGGAAGTTGATTATTACGGTTACCATCGGACAAAAAATTAATTTTCAAGTCCGGCAACCTCTGCTTATTAAAATTCTCTGGCGTTAATTACTCTCCTTCCAAGGAAAACCCCGCTCAGATTGATAACCGAGGTCCAGAACAGATATTAGCATAGGACATTGCCCGAGTATAACGCGACGTCCATTTTCGACCAAAATTATGAACCTTTTGCTTGAAAAAATTACGTGGACACAATTTCTGTACAAGATGAGGACACTTCCTGAAAGAGGCTAGGTGGACGAGCAAAATGCGCACTGTGTAAGACGTCCTAAATTCTCACATTAGATTCTGTCGCCAGCTTTCATGAGATAGGTCACGTACTGTGCAATGCCTTGGAGAGGATTGAGAAGCTGTTGGATGTACAGCGGGTTTTTCGGTAAGCCTATTATCTCTGCCATCCCTGTCACTCGACTTATGTAGGAAGCGGTGGCGCACTACTACGAAATTGTAGAATTTCCCGCAGGAGCTGGTACCGTCTATAAAGATGTGTGTATTTAAGAAGTCAAGTCAGGCAAACGTACGCTTTCGATTATTCGTCCTCAGACCTGTACAGGGAGGGTAGAATATCAAAAGTCAAACATGCAATAAAAGTCAATATGGGGGAGAGGGTTGAGGCGCGTTCAGAGGTCAGGGGTCAGATTCTAGTTCTGTCTGGGGCACATGGAGGGGGAGGGAGAGGTGTCTAGCGATTAGCTGTTCCTGTTTCATCGCTGTTACGCGACGTGTCGGGTGTAAACACACATAATGGGCCTGTTTTTGCCCAGGGGAGCCTTAGCGCCCGCACAGACGCCTTATTCGAGCACAAGGCTCGGTCGCTAACCGTATGGCCACTGCCTTTGCTGCCGCAAGTATTGGCTGACGCAGGAACTTGGAGTGTCAGGCCGACACTTGATAGATGACTCAGAATGCTTGGTTGGCGTCTACCCGCTGCGACGTAGATAAATCCGACGCTGTAAGCTAAAGTAGAACATTGTACCAACCCCGAGGACTGTATAAAATGTTTCACGCTAGTTAGACTGCAGGGGGTCTAGTGTTGTAGATTTCACTTTACAATTACTCTTTGCCGGCATATTTGTTACTTACTCTTGGGGGCGATGTGTGTTGTAATGTTCCAATTTCAGTGCAAAGGACGGAAATTATTTACTCTCACGGGAGCGATGAAGAGTTAACCACGCAGAATGTCTTCGAAGTGAGTCAAAGTCAGCCTGAGCAGTCCGGAAAAGCGTGGCGAGCGCTTCCTCTAAATTAACTGGGAAGCCTGTCTTCCTCTTGCACGTTTAAATAAGAGCTCAATCGTCTTTGATCTAAAGGTGAACAACGAATTTAAGTTTTTTGTGTCAGCTACTGCAGGGATTTGCTCTCAGTCCGGAACCATCTTCTCCAAACAAAGTATTCTCTTGAATGTTCCGTCCGTGCATTCCCTGCTGTTACTTAGATGCAGAACCGTAGACCCAACAAGAAACTTCCTCAGTATAACGCAGTTCTTCTCATTTGAAAAGGCCTGCATGCTGTGGTTTTTCAGCAAAGTGAAATGCTAAGATGGTGTTATGTAGCCCCACCTGATGAACGCAATACCATTGGGGTTGGGATTAGGGGTTAGGGTTGGGGCAACTCCTTCTCAACCACTCAAAGTACAACCGCGCATTCTCAATAGCTTTTCTTTTGCATACAATTACTTGACCTCGTCGTCTGTGCGTACTCCGGCCTCACCTGTGAAAACGCCTGTTACCACCGGTCTCATATTACAGGTGGCTGGAGTTTGTTTAATTCAGGCGGGGCTATATAACCACATCTGACCATTGTTTGTGATGTCTTAAAGAAAGTTACTGGTTGGCTCTTCAAGCCACAATCTGTGACTATTGGCATTTCCCTATAGACTTGCCTTGAAAATTGTCGATGGATTCTGGCACAGTGGGTTTCATACGAGCATGTTTTCTAGGCTACGTTTACCGGTTGCCTAGTGTCTTTGCACTCAGAAATACTGCAGAGGGTCAATTACCCCGCTTTCGTCTGCAGCACTGTGTATGACTTGTGCTGCAGGCCTTCTGGATTCAAAGTGTAATTAAGGATGCACAAACAAAGACCTACGTGCGAGTGACTTGGCGTTTTGTTTCCTGATAATCCACTTTTTCGCTCTCACTAGGGTATCTATTTACATTCGGAGGTATAAAGAAAAATTTCTGTCGTTATCTCTCATTTACAACCTACCCTGTGTCCGTCTCAAAGAGGCGCTGTAATTGAATCAGACATAGTATTGGCGCTGGCATCACAGAACGCCCAGATTTATTTTAAAATTCCCCTTGTCCATTGAAATAATGCGAAATAGTGTTTGAAAAGGGAATCAACTTTAGCCTCGATCTTGATGCATGGACAAGGCGTGCAGGGCTGCACTTCAAAGGGGATTCACTTTCAGACCTTCAGAAGTAAACTGTATATGCCTTCTTCCGTTTTCACTTTGCGTAGGATTGGGCACATTTTGTATTATTTATTTGGTCTCCTGAAGATTAGAAACGCTCAATTAAAAGCGTGAGTAAAATAATAGCCCCATGTCTAAAACTAGCGCCCTGTTTTGAGCACTGAAGCGATAACCTTCTTTTATGACAACTGCAGACGGCGGAGTTTTGGTCCTGAGTCAGTTATATTGTGAGGCTTAAGGAATTTCAAAAATCCAACACATATTTTCACTAAGTATATAAATACTCGCTTGCTTTTTGCTCGCAACTCATTCGCCACCGGTTTTCATGCCATTTTTAAGTTCCATTCGTCGATACGAATGAGACTGCGAATCCTAAGAAGCATTTCAAGGCCTTCGGATTTACAAGTCCAATTAAATAACGTATAAATTTGCCTGCTCTTTTGACTGTAGTTCCTGTTAGCACGCAACAGTTTGTCCTGAGGAGATGGCTTGTCGGATTACGCCGTGAATCGCCCTAATTATAGCGAGGATTATGCAGTGGTTAGCGGCAACAAGTTCACTCGAGCTTTGAGGGATTACAATCGCTTAATGAGAATTTCCACAAACAAAAATGTGTGGTTGCGGGGGCGTTGGGCTGTGGTGTCAGATAAAAGCCCTCAGGAGTTGGGTTTGGCCACCACTCGCCTCTAAGTATTCACCGGTAACATTACGATTTTGTTTTCATATATTCGTACACAGTGCTGATTTCAAATAAAATTTCTGTCACGAAACTTTCACCGAAATTTTAAAATGGGTTTTCGCTGGAAGTATTTCATTAGTAAGCTTAAGATAGTGATTGCGAGGCATAGCAATCCAGGACTATTTCATGCGGACTGAGAGAATAACCTTCGTCGGGATGTCTTTTCGCTTTTCTTCTGTAAAGGTGAAGCTCAAAATTTGGCCACATAAGTTGTATTTTTTGTCTATGATCGCGTACCAGTGCCTCTCTAAATTAAGTAACATTTATTGAAGTGGCATGCAGAAGGACTATTTCCTTATGTGAATTTTATAGGAAATAAAGTCTTCTCCACCACCGCGGCGCAGGAGAGAAACATCGTACAGCCTTTGCATAGTTTAAGAACCCCTGTGTTAGGCTAAACTGAACCTGCCTGACAAATTTGCTCCTGCAATCACCAACGCATCTGTTTCGTCCTTTTCCTAATTCGACTTAATATATCTTACAAAGAGGTCTCCTCTTGGGAATGAAATTTAACCATGTGTGCCTGGATAAATTATGTACTTGAGTGACATCACTAAAACACGTGGTTTCTACGCTGCTTAAATGATTATCTCATCGTTTCACAAATTTTTGTTATTTTTAATTATTTGACATTTCGAACATCTTCGAATTTTACCTGCGCTAATCAGCACCGCAACGTCACCTAGGGAGTATTTTTTTCAACATCACACTTCGTTTCTTCAGTCATTTCTTTATGAGTTTCACTGCCTAGGAGCCTAAGTCTTGTTTTTCTGGTGTTATGATTCTTATGCGGCAAACTTGAAAGCCGCATAATTGTGCAATAAGAGGTTATGAATTGCAAACAAGAAAATCTCGCGGTGCCCGACAAACAACTCTTCTCAAAGCTGATTTCCTGGTAAACGACAAAGCCTATAATAGCCCGAAGCAACCTTAAATGAAGTCGGTTCTTCATTTAGCCGATGCCTGCCACAAAACTGAACACTTTCTTCCCTTCATGGCCGTTTCCAAAAAAATCCATCCAAATCCATTAGTATTTGCTTTCAACCTAGTATTTCGGAGTTTTCGCTAGGCATTTATTTCTAGATCAGCCTTCGGTGCTTCATTTATCGGTAAATTATTTACCATTCATACGGATTTTTACACATTGCTCACAGGAACCAATGACAGTTGAAAATATTTTCCGTTTGATAAGCTTAAAGATCGCAAATTCGAGGCGAGAGCCATTGCCAACATCGATGGCGCAGGTTTGAGGGCAATCAGGGCGAAATCCGAGCAATATCTCATTTCGAATACTTTGTTGGGGTTTTAAAAAAATTTAAACGGAAATTACTCTGTCTGTCCGCACGCGATGGCATCTGGGGAAAAGGGCTTCTATAAGCCCTCATCTGTGTTGTTTTATTTTACATTAAAATTATTTAACTTTTACTGCTTATCCGCCACCATAGTAAACTGCTGGTGTATTAGAAACTAAAATAGTTTACCAGCTTTCCATAATGGCTCAAACTTCCAAAAGGCATCAAATACTCGAAAAAAATCATGTCATTTTCGCATTAAAGGATGGTGGGTCCAAGCGAAGAAGACCAGTCGGGCGGAACGGCTCTTGTGCTTACCTTAGAGCAAGGATCAGCTGGCCTTATTAAACTGCTACAAAAACTTCAGGTGAGATGTTCCATTTTGTAACAATTACACCAGTACGTAGACTAGGTTTTGTCATCTTGTTAATAGGGTTAGAAGCGAAAGTGACTCGCTGGAGAGACACTGCTGGAGTTGCGGATCTTTACAACACTTTTAGCCCACTGGCCTGGCGTAAAATCTGGGTCATAGATGTCGGTGGGTTTATGCATGCCGGTGAATTTTCCAATTGCAGTGTTGTCAGTTTGTATCTCTGCTGGTCGAAGACGGTGATGGGTGAGCCCGAAAGCAGTGACTGTCTCAGCACCCGTTATTTTTGTACGTTCGAATTACCACAAAAAATGATCAGAAAACTACTTTCTCTGTTAATGGCGCTGTTACTTCCTTAGCATTCTGCTCTTCGCTCGACATGCAATTGTTTGCAAGAGCATCTACAGATCTGAGAAGGCATCACAGGAACAAATGAGAGGCACAAGTTAGTATTTGCGGAGAAACAACATTTAACAGTCTGGTCGGATCGCAGAACGAAGTATGGATCGTCTACTTTGCCTTAAAGTCACTGAAGGATGAATTTGGATATTACTAACTACAGTCAGCAAATTTTGGCTTCTAACTCAAGAGGCAGGATAAAAACCGCAATAAAGAGATTCATGCTGGCTCAACTCTCAAGTCTTTTCCGTCGCCGGTGGAGCTATAGCAGACTGACGGCAGAAAGTTAACATAAAAATATCCTGCAAATTTCCTTTGTTTCTGCAAAAAGACTTTGGCGTAACAGAATTCACCAAACAAAACAATTCTTGTTTTGTGCAAAAAAGGCAGATTCAGACATTTAGTCCACAACGATGCCCAACTGCACTTTAATGTCAACCTCCTATTTTGCGAAAACGCGGACCAGTGGATTAGAGTTGCATTATATATGTATCTACCGTACACCTCAATACTCCCCCCTCTCCGCCTAGTGTTCTAATGACGATCGGGGTTGTCTAACAGCACCTATGATAAGCTAAAAGCAGTTGTTTTAGGCGGGCGTCCGTCAATCGGCATGATCAGACGTTATGGATGTCTTATACGGCCTCTTCCGACAGGACACGGGAATAGGAGCGTCACGTAATACGGGTGACTTTGCGCTAAGTTTTAGCGAATGTATTGTAAGTGGTAAGCTTTATTTTAGGGCTACGTCTAAGGTTACGTTTAAGACTTAGGCTAGGGCTAAGGCAAGAGTTGGAATTGAGGTGGATTCAGGTCATGGGAATAGGTACCTTTTCTGGAATTTAGCCTAAGGCCACCTGTATTACGGGAAGGGCGCTCTCCTACTCCCCCATCCTGTCGGAGGGTCATATAAGAAATCTCTCCCTCCCCCCACCCGATCAGGCTGTATGACTGGACCGGTATATGCAGTTCTGGGTTGTTTATTTTGACGTAAGAATGAAGTAATACAAGTGTAAACGTGGGTTTAATTTGTAAATTTCATCTTTCGAATGCTTCCCGTGATTCTTTCTGTCGAGACAACTTCGTACCTGTTTAAACGTAGTGGATATTGAACAAAAACACCAAATTAAACAGGTCACTGCCGCTCGCAGAGCGCCTGAGAAAATCAAATTCAACGAAGTAACTCAGTTGAATATAATACATGTAGGTCCGATAAACCATGCTCCTGCATCATTTGATATCTCCTCTAACCGAGACTTTAGTTGCGTTATCAAGTTTTAAAATCCTTTGCTTGGCTTACTGCAGGATTTGAATATCGATGTGAGTCATTTAGAAACTCGACTGAGTAAGGAGCGGGCAGCCGCCGGATCTGCAGGCAAACTGTCTCTGGACGTTTTGGTACACACGGAATCAAAACTTGAGTCAGCCGAATCTCTCCTGCACGAGTTGGAGAATTCCTGCAGATGCAAGCTCATTCCAGTTCGTAGTCTCAAAGGTGAATTATTTTTTAACTCGTCCAACTAGACGACAATACTAACTAAGCTGGCTTTAAATCCCTACGATCATCAACCAATTGGGCGTTCTTTTTCTTCTGAAAAATCTTCTAAATGCAGGTACAGAAGTCTTGATTAGTTCACAGTTTTCATTTTTCCCCGTGAAATCGCCCATGCCTTCTGTACGTTGATTTATTAAGACAAAGTCAAGGGATCAAATAGCTTAGTAAAAAAAACTCAAGTAAATTTCGGGTGATAATGACGCTTCCTAGAAACTAAAACAGTCCAGGCCCAATACGCCTCTTAGGTGGTAGGACTTCCTCACCATACTGGCATTATCACAAGCCTGCATAATTGGTTTTTATTCACCCATAATTCAGTTGGTTCGATTTTCTATCTCAAATAGTGTTTTCTCACTGTTTTTATGTTACGCGGATAATAAATGAACTAACAATATCCCTTACACCCCCCAGAGGTTGAAGTGGTTCCGTGGTTCCCGCAAAGAATTGACGAACTGGACATTATTTCAAACCATGTGCTGATGTATGGCGCAGAACTCGACGCGGATCACCCAGTAAGCCTCATTGGTTAAGTTGTTTTATTCGGCTAGTAATAAGGCGACTCGATCGTTGGAACAAGAATTGTATTCATCTGATGTTTCGAATTCACACTCGAACCCAACGTCAAAGACAAAATATAAAGGTGTCGGAAACACAAGGGGTGTAGCTGCCGTATTACCTGATACATATGAAAATTAGCAGCTTCCGGTCATTTCAGACGCTCGCACGCTGTATGATAACGGAGTGGCTGCCCACATGCGAGCTTATAATGATTACGATTTCATCATTGGTTTTTATTATCGGCGTGTAAATTGTTAGGTCATCTGGTTCACCAGTACTGGCACTGCAGACAGGAAGGAATATAAACAAAAATAAGGGGGAATGATAGAGCTATTTCCGGCTTATTGGCCGTCGTCAGTCAGCCTTACTCAACCTCTCTCACTGAAGTATGGGCTCGTTGTCCTGTCGATTGCGATCAGAAATGTCAACTACGGTGAAAAGGCGTTTACCGATCAGGTTACGGGACATACTCGTCCCACTGAGCCGTGGAGTTCAGTCTAGAATCCTTTCAGGCAATCACATAGCAACCAGGAATATGTACGGAAATAAACCTCGGGTCCTGCAAGCTTGAGATTGGGTAAGGCTGACTTGCGACAAATAATAAGCCATAAATGGCTCTTCTAGTCTCCCTTGCGCTTGTCAGTATTCTTTTTCGCATATATCTCCGGTCACTACGACTGTCTGTGAGGTCTCCAGATGGAGTCCCAAGATAAAATGGAAGGCGCACTCCCCCTAACCCGAACGATGGACGACCCTTCACCATTGCGAAGGGATTTACTCGCACGCTCAGCGGGTGTTTTATTACCCTCCGCAGACAAACTGAGAGCTGGAGGGGAGGGTGAGATCAGTATATTTTGTCGATGAGCGGCGCACTGGAGGGCCGCAAATGAAGCAACGTATCCATATTAGCAGAAAAAGTAGCAGTTGTTACGTTGTTGATTACTGCAAACAAAACTGAACACAACATAGAAGGAAGTCAGCACTTCCACGTGTTTTTAATCGATTTCCTGCGGTCTTGTGGAGCAAGTGTTGGAAAGTTCGAGCCACCTGTGGCCTGTTGCGCAGCAAAATGAGTCCTGCTGTCGCAACACAGGAAAACTGTCTGCCAACGATAGGGTGTAGGACCCCCGAACAATTTAAATAAGTCTGTGTCATAAGTTGAATGGTGGAAGAGGGGTTTTACGAGTGGGGCTACACACAGGAGGGTGAAGAAGAAGAAGAAGAAGAAGAAGAAGAAGAAGAAAATAGATAAATTTCTGCCGAAAGTCTTGTTGTACGCTGTCACTTGGCAAAGACAGTGAGCGCGATAATTAAAAAAATAAACAAAAAGCAATTTTAAAAAACAACGGGCTTCAAATAAAGCGCTGCTAGTAAGTTGACATTTAGTCAGGAAGGGAAGGAAATTTCAAGCAATGGGAACGGCGGATAACAAGTGGTGTTTACAGTCATACTGAATTTTAGGGAATATTGGTGCAGTTGCCATCCACGTGTGGGTCCTACACCCTATCGTTACCCATTTTCTTGTAAAAAGACTAGTCCTCTTAGGAACTGAACTATGAGCTTCGAGGTCGGGGAAGACAAATTTGACACAGATAAACTACTGAAGTTAAAGGCGTTTAGCAAAAAGCCCTCAAAAACGTTTTCTTAATCTCAGCATTCCTATTTGAATCATCTTGTTTTCATTTCTTTCAGTTATTTTCAACAAAACTTTAAAGGAAGAAAGCTGACCTATTAACTAAGTCTACACACCTTTTTTGCTATTTAGCCTACTGTTTTTAGTCAGAAGTTTAAATTAGTCTTAAACAGACTCTTAAATAAAGTCCCATTGGGCGCTCTCAGTTGAAACGGACTCTGGATAGTCGAAAGTGTACTCAAGGTCCATATATCCTTTTCCTTCTTAAATGCCCTGGTGGTAAAATTTTCACACTTTTCGGGCATATTCAGGTTGGAATCCGAACCTTAGCCGCTGTCGACAGACTTTTCTTTATAATAAACGGGCCAAATTAAAACTGTCGCACGCCTAGTCCTTCGCGGTAGGATCTGTGAGAAAAGGTTTCTGACCGGTTAAATAAGAATTCAGCGGAATGCAACAAACAGTTTACGTGCTGGGTGGAGTGTTATGAGAATGTAACTATTTTCGAAAAAAATTTCTTGGCCCATTATTCAGGGCGAAAGTGGACTCAGATGCGAGTGTTGTTGCATCTGGTGTGCAGGAAACGGTAAGTGGGTGAGTGAACTGCCCGTGAAATGTTTGAGTCAGGCACGCGAGCGGAGTAACGGCAGACGGCGAAACGATGCAAGAGTTACTGGGGCTTAGTCCACACATATTCTGGTTTTGCAGAAGCCACATCAGGGGCCTTAACATTGGTTTCCACGCTGAAAATCTAGGTGCCAGAGGGTTAGGGAAACCGATTCGGCCGTATATCTTCACGTCAAATTCAGTGAACTTTCGTAGCGTAGGCTTATAAGTTCGTGAGATATGGGCAACTGCGGTGGTATGATCGGCTTGCCGAGCTAAAATAACTGCGTACATTTGAACGATAAATGTCCATCCGGAGTAATTGAGTCTCGGAAATATTCCGATGTTCGGATGGGTGTTGAGAGGCTGGTCAGCAATTTACTGTTCCTTGGCGCAGTGTCGACGGAGTTTTTGTTGCTGCCCGTGGTGGTAGTTGTGATGGTGTTGTGGAGGGTGCAAAAGTATTTCGCAAGACCAATTCGACCCTTTAAGGGGCATTGACAGTGAGAAAACATGGCAGCAAGTTGTTTACTGACGACCTTAATCTTCGATCTTAAGGTGACTTGTTCTTGTCTGTCCTCGTTTGGCTTCTGTATACGGTTTGCTTCGGAGATTACTGAATTACTGTATGCAACGGTTCATCATGCCTGTCAAGCTTGTGTAATGGTCGTCCAGGACTCTTGGCCAATTCTGTATCACTCTAGCTCGCCTTGTCGTGGGTTTGTTTGTCCTCTTTTCAGCCTCTTTATTGAAATCATCGTGAAACAGATGTTTTGGTAGACATCGGTCTCGCACAAGTGTAACGTAGTCACTTAATCGAACCTTCAATATAGAAGAAATGCCGAATATTTCTAGCGAATAGGTGGCCGTTGTGTCCAAGGTCCCTCTCAGCCAGTTTAGTTTTAATACCCCCCCGACAAGCATCTTAGATGAGAATGGTTCAAGTCCGAATTTGGCTTTCATAGTTTGCTCAGGTTTCCGCAATGCAGAGAAGCATTACCAGGACATCGGTGATGCCTATTCCTGTCTTGATGTTAAAAGGCAGGCAGCGATGACTTGATAGAAAGAATTTAAACCTGACGGAGGCTGGAATGAATTTCGAGACATTATATCTTTGGATATTTGCTCCTCAGGGAGGAGAGGTGAGTCACAACTACGAGATGATCTTTTCCAACATTCAATACAGATTTCGTGTATTTCGCGGATGCTGCCGGCTGAGGCCTGACAACCGTGTTCTCTTTGTTTGAATTTACTCAACAGCCCGATACGAAAAGGCCTGGACTCCGGCGCAGGTCTCCTTTAGTTGGGATGTCCAGTGCTCAGTCGTCGACTAAGAGATGATCGTTTATCCTGCTCCTCGCGATTTCCATGAGAGATTGTATGCGGTGGGTTTGGGACAATTTTCATCCAGCTCCGTGTCCGTTCCCAGACCTTCCTCGCGGTTGGCATAAGGCAGTAATGCGGAAAACATGAGATTGAATTTTGGATGAGTAAGCAGCATTTTTTCATCCCATTTGTCACTACGGAGATTTCCAACGATCACCCGTCGTCGCCCAATCATGTCATAATGCAGCGGATTGGGCGCCAGGACAAGCCTTTTGGATAACAAGAATTTCATCATCTTCTTCAAGGGGCTGTTTTGGTTTGCGATATCGAACTCCTCGGCTAGAGAGACAATCACTTTGAAAACTTTAATCCTCATTGCCGAACGTTTTCTTGTAATTGTCACACATCTAAGACCGTATCCGCGTCTCGCAATGTTCCCAGAATTCATAGTGTGTATTTGGAATTATACCTAATTTAAGCTTGGACGAGTTTATACAACAAAACGAATACTTCGTCAACAATACTGAGGAAGGGGATAACACGGTGATTTTCATAAATTTATTAACCTCATTTTCTGGCTTTCAGAGGTGCACGTCAGTGACGCTCACTAAGTCTTGCGGGGTTTGTCCTAGAATATCAAAGTCGGGTTGTGAACAACTTTACGACCTCCGTCCTTTCAGACCTCAACCAAAGTTGAGCCGACACCCGGACACTTCGCACTAGGCTTCTGTTGCACTGCTGTACTCGTCTCCGGCAAGAAGGGATAGACAATCAGAGTTGGCGTTGCTCTCCACTTGGAGGAGTCTATTTACAACCGCTTCACGGACTGTGGATTTATGGTCGGGGAAAGTCTAGCGCTATTGAATTTGTTAGTTCGCTGGCAGCAAATCTGTCCCATTGAGAGGGAGCAGCAGCGTGGTTGCGGCGGGCTTGGATTGTATACTGCTTTGGCCGCCGCAATACAGCCCTCCACTTCGACACACTCTATCCACAACTTTCCTCCGCCACGTAATCCAATCAATCCCCAATCAGTTCTGCGTGACCGATCTCATGAAATGTTAGCCAAAATTCTGAAATGCCTTTCCGATTAGGAAGGATCACTTAAGTGGAGTTGTTATACTGATTATCATGTTACATAACCCTATAACATTTCGGGCTCGCTAGGATGTCGGCTTTTGAATGCACTTCATTTTGACCTCCTGCATAAACCACAACTACTTGACCTCGTCGCTGTGCGTTCCCCGGTCCCAACTATAAAAACCCCCTATTACCACGGGTCCCGTATTAGAGGTAACTGGGGCTTATTTACTACACGTAGGGCTACATAACCACATGCGACCAGATGCTTTGATGAAGAAAAACGATAGTTCGTTTTTGTTAAAGAATACTTTCTTAACTAACCACCAGGTCAATATGAACTTCCATATCGAACCTGTGTATTGTTTTGCAGGGGTTCCACGACGAACAGTATAGGAAGCGCCGGAACGAGTTTGCTGAGATCGCATATAAATATAAACAGTAAGTCTCTGTGATGCTTTGGCGAAATGTATCAGCCATCAGGCCTTTAAATAGGATGACATATTGTTTGATTATTTGCTCGTTTAGATAACTAGCCTGCCAAAATCTGATGAAAGTTTTGTGAGACCTTGCCCTAGGCCTCACATTTAACCTATTTCATTTAGTTCTCTAGAATAATTTGATATGAACATTTTCGGGGGATGAATAATATATCACGGCTGACTTCTACGGATTCTTAATGAAGTGCCTTCGAATAGCCTTTAGCGCATATATTTATTTGCCATATTTGGTGATTTTCCTGATGAAATAAAGCGTGATGCTTCATTACTCCCAAGCAAACCCAGTGACAAATCCGCACTTTTCAAATCGAGAATGATCGGAGAATTAGCACAAGAAAGGGCTATAGATATTTCATATTGGGTATTTAGAATTGTAAGGTCATTTGTACGGACAGTTCGTTCAACCTTCCTTTCCGACGAAGTCCATCCTGTGTTCCACGCAAGATATGCGCAAGGACGGTGACATACGCGGTGATTTGGGGACAGCAGACTTGCGTTGCATCCACCACACCCTATCCTCCTCACTCACCTGAGTTCGATGTCAAGACAGGGTCAAGAAAATCGAGGGCGGGATTGTTAGCAGGTAACTGGCACGACACGAACCCGCGCCTAGGCGTGTCACCACACACCTAGTCAGCATGTGAAAGTGATCAGTGTTATATCCAACAAGAAAATGGGGAGCGGCTCAGATCCAAACTGAGTGGGAGTGCCACAAAGGCCCCATTAAGAAGGAGCCATCGCAGTCAGACTTTTCGTCTTCAGGAGATGACCGAACCATCCCTTCAGTCAGTAGCCTTCCAGGCTGCGTCTTTTAGCGCACGGTGATAGATTTAAGCGCGGGGAATATGTGCTGAGAGAGCCGACCTCTCTCCCTCTCTCTCTTTCCTCGCCCAGACATCAGTCCATTGTTCAAGCCAGTAAGTCAACTGATGCGGGAGTTGGGCGTGCTGGCTGGCAGAGCCAAAAACGACCCATCTACGCATACCAGAAGGCACACTAAGACTTCACCCAAAGGGGCTGGGTGGCCCGGATCTCGCATGTGTTAGAAAGCCACGGAGGTCACATAAAAAGGAGGTCATTGTAGCCTGACTCACAGTCCACCGGTCGGCCACTCTAAGCACACACTGGGCTGTACGGAGCATTGAAGGGAATTTCACCCCTCACAGGAGGAGGCCGTTCTGGGGAGAGAATTCATGGTAGGGGAGCTTACCGATCGTTCTTATGGAACTCACTCGTCCCGTTGTGCCTTACGGGCTCTCTCTCGAGCCCAACCAACAGCCGCACAGCGATGCATGATATAGGCGATATGTTATTACTAGCAAAGACAGGGGAGACTGGAATGGCCATTTCTGGCTTATTGGCCGTCGTCAGCTAGTAATGCCCAACCCTATGTGTGAAATACCATGGGCTCGGACTCACGACCTGTTAGTTAGAAGTCCAACGCCTCTAACCACTGGGCCACGGGCCCGTTGTTGTGTCGATTTCGATCAGGAATATACAATGGTAGAGGGCACTCGCCGGTGCCCATATCATGCGTCGCTGTGCGGCTGCTGGTTGGGCTCGAGAGAGAGCCCGTAAGGCACAACGGAACGAGTGAGTTCTGTAAGGACGATCGGTGAGCGCCCCCTACCACTGTATATTCCCGACCGAAACTGACAGGACAACGGGCCCGTGGCAGAGTTGTTTGAAGCGTTGGACTTCTAACTTACAGGTCGTGAGTTCGAGCCCCAGGTGTTCCTCAATTCGGGGTTGGGCGATTGGCTGACGACGGCTAATAAGCCAGAAATGGCCATTCCAGTCTCCCCTGTCTTTGTCGACAATAGCATACTGCCTAAGACAATTTATGTTGAATTAGATCTACACTCAGCAGTCCTAGGTAAAATCTAGACTTATACTATAGTCAGAAACCCATTTATTCTTTCAAATCGCTTCCAACATATGCACAAGACGTCAAGTTATTGTTTAACTTGCATTTTAGTGGAGATCTTATTCCCAGGATCGAATATACAGCAACGGAGAAGAAAACTTGGTAGGTTAACAAGGCCAATTGTTGTTTGTTTTAACACAGCGCATTGTATAATAAACGCGGTAGATGTAAACGCACTCCACTTAAGAGGCTTACTGGTGAACATAGGAAGTGTTAACATCGTTTTTCGATCAGGCGGCAACCACTGGGATGAATGCTGCCGAAGTTGACGGGGAGTGGGCTTGTACAGAGATGCGAAAGTGATTTGCCCGAGGGGAGTGATAATGGAAGGTGCGCAATAAAGCAAGGAAGACCGAGAGCAAGGTCATTTGCGGAGGCAAGACCTGACACTGAACAGGGGCCTTAAGAGTGTTCGGCCTTAATAACAGCGTATTCATGACCACTCAAATGTGGTCACTGCAAAAGCCATAATGACTGGCCTGAATGAGCGCATAGTATGTGAACTGCGGTGCGATGGCCAGCCATGCTTTGGGATTTGTCAAAGCGAGTCAAAAAAAACTAACCGCAGAATCTAACTTACGAATGCAAATAAATGAAATGAGGTGGGCTGCAAGTCTAATTCTGATTCACATGTTTTACTTCAGAATTTCTGCCACACCTTAGAGTTTAGCTCTAATAGAAAATAAATCTGTGTATATAATATTGGCCCAGAAATAGATCTCATATCGAATCATGCTAAATCAGCAAGAAGCAAGTAAGCGCCGCACTTCAAACTAAATTTGATTTCTATCAGTTACCTTCAATATATGTTAAATAGAAACCGAAACGATAAATGAACCACAGCGATGGGAGAGGTACCAGGTGGGAGGCCATGATGACCATTTCTGATTTATAAGCCCTATTCAATCAGACATACCCTACCTTAGGTCTGGAAAACCCGGGACTCGAACCTGGGTCTTTTGGTCGTTGAGCGTTAAATAGGCCATGGAGTCACGAGCCCGTAGTCATGCCGGCTGTGATCGGGAATACTAACCTTGGTAGAAAGACACTTATCCGTCTGGTTACAGGACGTGCTCATCCCGTTGTGTTTTAGGACTCAATTTAGAGCCTTCGCAGGCAGTCACATGGCGAGTAAGCATACAGAGATGGGAGTACCGGTCTCCCTTGTTTTCGTCGATACCCCATCCGGCATATATAACTGTCTGCGACGTCTATAGATTGAGACCCAAGACGCTACAAGACTAGCACGTCCTGTAAGTTGATTGGTGAGCGATCCTCTACCATAAATAAATCCAATAATTTGTTGATATTGGGTGAACCCACGTCTATGCCGTAGTATAGCTTTAACCGGTCGATAATGCATGCAGTCTTTTCATACTGTATCCCATCCAAGGCGTTCACGAGAACGCGCCTGATTTGGCAAGGCGTGTGTACTTCCGTAATTATGGGTGCTTTTCATTAAATGCAATTTCAAACACGCTGTATGTGATTAAGGTCTAAAAATCCAGTTAAGCTGAGCAGGCACCCAATAATGTGTAGACTTTATAATTTTAAACAGTGCAACGTCGATGAGCCGATCCATTATCCTCATGGAAAATCTATCCAGTCATGAGTAAGATCATTGAGAGAACATCCAGTCATAATGCCTCCATGTACCGCTAACCATGGGTATTTGCATCGGTGAGAACCAGCCTGCCGTCTTCTGGGCCCCACTGATCTACTCACACATGGATGGGATTTATGTCTCATTCCACGGTCGAGGTACTCATTCCGTCGCGAAACTGTCTGCCACTCTACCGTCCAAGCTAAACTCCTCCGTCAATCTTTTTCATTCAAAATCACGACTCATCCGTTCAGATGACTTTGCTCAGCTGAGGAGAACGCTAAGCGCACAATCGCACTGGCCATTTCCAACAGGTTTCCCGTTGTGCCCACCCAAGTACGGTTTACCTGCCTCAAACCCGTATTTTCTAAAAACCTTTGACATAGTGCGGACAGATTTTTGAAATTCAAAAGAGCCTGCACGTCGATTGTAGCGGGTAAATTTCAGCAGCCTCATTTGATCTGGCAACGTTGTTTATCGCCGATAATCTTCCGTTGTTTCGTAGGGTTGCAGCCATTGTATTACGGTGCTTCTGAGTTCAGTCAAGCATTTGTGTATCCATTGTCTGACTTGTTGGTCACATGTTACTCCTCTGCCGTGGGGAATGAGAGTATCAAGCCCCTGGCGTGCCAGGCCCTACAGTAAACCCGAATGGCCAGCACAAATGGACGTACCCGCTTGCCCCCATATGATGGGTACATCTGCATTTCAAGAGTACACTTAGTGAGACAGACAGACAACTAATGAGGAAAATTTTATATTTATCGATGTATTACTCAAGAGCGCTTGGAATGACAGCAGTCGAACGCCTCGGAAGCCTGATAACTAGCGGTGCGTAGATAGAAGCCAGTAAATCTACTGGTTCCCATCTTCCCATGAAGGTTGCTCTTCGGCGGTTTTCTCGAAAACCTGAAAGGGCTGCGGTAAACAGCAACTTGCTTTAGTATCCACAAACTATCACACCACTCACTTACTCGAACGGAATCACGAATGCCATCATAGGTTGGATGTTATCGGTAGTCAAATTGGTAACTTGGACTTTGTCGACTGTTCTATGTCATGTACCGGGGAGTCAAGGCCCCAAAAGGTGTCCAAAGAACCGATAAGTTTCTGTCTATAGTCACAACCAGCAGTGTTCTACCAGAATTCCTCATTTCTTAACGCTTGTCAAACTGACTACCTAGTATGTGAATACAACCTCTTCGCAACTAAACTCTGAATGAACGCCAAGTAATAAAGGTGCTATTTTGAATCTATGGATTTTCAAGTTGCTAAGGTCAGTTAGGTTACAATAAAACCGCAGTGCTGGCGGTAATTAAGACACCCTAGATGCACAGCATTATGATTGTTTAATGTCCTTATCCCTTAATCAACGCATCTCAGAGTTGCCGGTTTAATACCTTGAACAAAAGCCTAAAGCTTTTTTGTATGACCACCTCTGCCTAGCATAATTTTTTCGCCACTGTGTAAACTGCTCAAACATTTTGACCCTGATAGCGTCATAGGGCCCCTTTACCTGACATAAAGGAAACCTGACTTTCATTTCTGCTTGTGGTTTTTGGAAAATTACCGATAAGAAGTGGTAAACACTGCCTGAAGCTTATATTTTAAAATCCTGGGGCGATTGTTTATCTTTTTGTAGGAGCGTTATCTATCGTGAATTGACGAAGCTATACGAAAGATATGCCTGTAGAGAATTCTTAGAAAATCTTCCTCTGCTACAGAAGTACGCTGGATACAGGTAGGTTCCTTTTCTTTCACGTCAACCGACGCAGGGAGGATGAGTTGCCGCAGCTGGAGGATGTTTCAAAATTTCTCAAGTGTAGGTTTCTATTCCTATTTCCTTGAGGTGCTACATTAACTCTATACACATAAGACCTATCTTGTTAGGTTACCAAGTAGTCTATATGTACGTGGTGACGGGGCGAGCCAAAGTAACAATGTCTTGTTGTACCGGTAGGCTGTTTTCTGAAGCGAAAGTCTGCAGCTAAGGGTTTAAATGCTGCTGCACCAGGGACTCTATCTCGAAACTGTCAGACAACACGGAGCTTGCACAACCACATCCTACAATTCCTTCCGTCGGTTCTTAAGTCCGATACTGTCTGCAATCATGTGGGATGAGTTGTTTAAAGTGACGCCTATGTTACCAAAGCTGTGGATCGTCCGCGTTCTCCTACGTCACATCTTTCAGATATAGTTCAAACTATTCCAGAAAGAGAAGGCGAAGAATCAAATGACGGTGACCAGGGCCATCATGGCCATTTGTTTTTTTTCGAAGTTCAAAAAACATACGATATAGGATGTTAGCTCCAAATCAAATGATCAAATCAGTTTTCGTCTACCGAGAGGTTGTTTCTCCAGTGAAAAGTCTGATTTATCTGCAAAAGGAAGATGATCTTTCATCCGAAAGTTTTAGGGTATTGCTGTGGTATTCGATCCGTTCCTTTAGAGATATGACTATCCGTCATACCTGATACGTTTCCTTAAATATAGGGAGGTCCGGTTTCACTGTCCGACCAGTGGCGGGTTACATCTCTGCTCGAGATTTTCTCTCTGGTCTGGCGTTCCGTGTGTTCTTCTGCACTCAGTACATACGCCATCCCTCGGACCCCTTTTACACACCAGAACCGTAAGTTAATTTTCCCAAGTGCTTGTGTTCGCAAGAGCCTTCGGGGAACGAATCAGGATGAAGGGAATTCCAACACGCATGAATGCCTTTTCGACCGAAAGCAACGGTTCAAGGAACAGAAACTGGTCATGTAGCTAAAACATCCAGTAAAGAGGACTTTAGTCAATTTCTTATGTAAAAACATCCGCTGGATCATAGCTATGGATTTGCAGTCCTATTTTTTCAACCTAAACTAAACAAAATCCCCTGTCGCGTTTTCCGTAACCACAGTCAATACTTCGGAAGTCTTTTCTTATACATTTTCTCACGCATTAAGTCTATTAGGTAAAGAGCACCAGATACCGATATCAAATGTCAGAATCGAAATTTTAACTCTTTTCAAACTTGCTATGCATATCTCGAGTATGATGAACCGCTATTCCGACTGTGATTTGTGGCTGCACGTAAAAGCCGCTCTTTAATCAACGAAGGGTCTTGTGGCAAATAAGGAGAGAAATATCCTGTAGGCATTGTCAATTAACAGACAAATCGTGTAGCCCACAAAGCGTTCTGTCGG